TACAAGGGTGGGAATGTTTTCTGAGCAATTCCACGATGTGCCCTTTCTCCACAGGCTATAGAGGAGCTGTTCCAGGCACTGGATCTGGAGAAGAAGAGTGTAGCCATAGGTCGCAGCCAGGTACGATGACTCTGCTCCCTGCTGCTCTCAGTGCATGTAGGCACAGCCAGCCCCGTGCCAGGCTCTCCAGCTGCCCAAAGCTCTCCAAACTGGAGACAAAACCATTCCTCTGCTGCTCCACGTGGTACCATGTGGGCTGGGAAACCAATCCTCACCAACAGTCAGCACAGAAGGCTCCTAATTCACACCTGAAAGCAGCACCCCGGGTCAAATCTACCTAATTATCACCATCCAGCCCCTCGTGGTATTTAAGTTCCTAATTACCACTGATGCCTCATGAGAGTGAGTGGGGTTTGGTGGGCTGGGTTCATGCTGTGGAGCCAGGCAGCTGTGGCAGCAGCAGCATTTGAACTTCAATGTGATGGTCTCAAAGAGAAATTAATTTCACGTGCTGCCTTCAGCTCTCTGGAGGCTGTAAAGAAAGGAATCATGAAACGGTTCTGTGGAGGAAAATAACTTTCTTTTATCCTGCACAGAGCAGTTTGCAATTATCTCTTCTCTGGAACCCTCGTCCTTGATCAATAGCGCGATGGCAGTGCCGGTCACATCTCGTTAGGGAGGAGTTGCTTTGCCATCGCTTTGAGCATTGATTCTGCACTGGCTTCCAAACTTGCCAGGTTGGGGAGTTAATACAGACATTAATGAGGCAATCGAATAGGTGGTGGAGCAATCATGGCATTAGCTGGGGAAAGTGAGTTTCCTTGGGGTTGCTCTTAGGTTCAATTTGGCGTGGTTAAAATGCAGCTCTTTGAGCAGCTTTGGCCTCTGGTGTCGGAGAGGTGACTACAGCTCTGCCATGCAAATGGGCTGTGATGGTCAGGAGTGCCTGAGCCTGTCCCAGAGCTCCTCCAGGCAGTGACCCAGAGACACCTTAAACACTCTGAGATCGATACCAGGCTGAATTCGATGGTGTCAGCAAATCTGTAGCGTTTAGGAGGTGTTTGTGAGAGTTCAGTGAAAGAAAACAACGTGGTTGATTTTTGGGGTTTGCTATTGAAAGGTATCTTTGCTGTTACCTGTGATTATCTATGTTACCTATGAGTATCTATGTGTTACCTGTGAGTATCTATGTGTTACCTGTATCTGTGTGTTACCTGCGATTATCTGTGTTACCTCTGTGTGTGTTACTGTGAGTATTGGTGCATTACCTGTGATTGTGTTGCCTGTGATCATCTGTGTTACCTGTGAGTATTTGTGTGCTGCCTGTGAGTATCTGTGTGCTATCTGTGAGTATCTCTGTGTTATCTGTATCTGTGTTACTTGTGCATGTGTGTTACCTGTGATTATGCATTACCTGTGTATGTGTTACCTGTGATTATTTTTGTGTTACCTGTGAGTATCTGTGTGTTACCTGTGAGTATCTGTGTGTTACTTGTGCATCTATGTCTTGCCTGTGATTATGTATTACCTGTGTGTGTGTTACCTGTGATTGTCTTTGTGTTACCTGTGATTATCTTTGAGTTACCTGTGAGTATCTGTGTGTTACCTGTGATTATGTATTACCAGTGTGTGTGTTACCTGTGATTGTCTTTGTGTTACCTGTGAGTATGTGTTACCTGTGATTATGTATTACCTGTGTGTGTGTTACCTGTGATTATCTTTGTGTTACCTGTGAGTATCTCTGTGTTACCTGTGCATGTCTGTGTGTTGTCTGTAAGTATCTGTATGTTACCTGTATGTAACTGTGTATTACCTGTGGTTACCTATGTGTTACCTGTGAGTAGCTCTAGGCTACCTGATAATTTGTAGGTTACCAGAAGCTGCTTCCAGCATAGGTGCCCATCCATCCCTGCAGCAGGAGGAAAGAGCAGCACATTGAAGGGAAGAGTTTTGAGGAATTGCACCTTGTGATAAATGATGTTTATGTCAAACAGGGGGAAGAAGAAGTTTCAGACCCTGTCCTGGGGCTGTGTAACCTCTGTTTCTTGCTATCAGGTGTTCCTAAAGCCAGGAGTCATCTCCAGACTGGAGAAGCAGCGTGACAGGCTGATAGCCCAGAAGATGACCCTGCTCCAGGCTGCTTGCAAGGGCTTCCTCAGCCGCCAGAAGTTCAAGAGGTTGAAGGTACCCATCCCACGGGTGGGGATACCTGTGCCCACCTGGGTCAGTGTTGCTGGGACATGGCCCAGAGCACCCAAATTACAGCTCCTTTGAGCTCCTTTGAGGGCTACTCACTCTGCCCTGCCCCAGGGGCAGACATGAGATTCCCTGTGGCACAGAGCTCTTCTGCCACCTCATCCCTCTCCAGCCTGGTGCCCCAGCCTGGTCCTTCCCAGTGGGCTCAGTCTTGGGTAAGGGTCACTGCTGCCGTGTCTCCCCACAGATCCAGCGCCTCGCCATCCGCTGCATCCAGAAGAACCTGGTGGTTTTCCAGGCAGTCAGGCACTGGCCCTGGTGGCAGCTGCTGAGCCACGTGCGGCCCCTGCTCAGCGTTAACCTCTCGGATGAGCAGCTCCGTGCAAAAGAAGTATGTTCCAAGGGATGGGATGGGTGGGATAGGACAGGACAGGATGCTTTAAGGGCTCTGCCTAGTGGCTTGGTAAAATTGGAAGTCATTTCTGCCCAGACAAAGATGTTTTTCTGACCATCCAGAAGTTTCCCTCTGTTCTTAGTGCTGCATTTTCTGACCCAAGTGCTGTGTTTTGCAGAGCTGTGGTGGGAGAAGTAACTCTCCTTCTTCCTTAGAGGGACAGCAGAAAAGGCACCATGTTCCCACATCCAAAGTCCTCCCATGCCCCCTGTGAGCTCACTGGGGCTGGGTCCACTGAGCCATATCCCTTGGGAATAAGCACCCCACAGCATCTCTATGTATGATGCCCCCTGTGAGCTCACTGGGGCTGGGTCTACTGAGCCAAATCCCTTGGGAATAAGCACCCTACAGCATCTGTATGTATGAGTAGCAGTCAAACACCCCTGAAACAGGAGACTCTATCCCATACTGTTCCCAACACTGTGCTGGCTTCCACCTGCACTGCCCTAGGTGATTGGAGATGCTTATGCAATTTTTCTGTCCTGGGAAAGGCACCTTTCACCCCTCTGCATCCTCTGAGACCTGTGCTAAATTCCTAGTGTGTCTTTCCTGGCATCCTGCTCCTCCTCTTGCCTTAGTGAGGTTTTAACAAGATGTTTTCAGGCTGATTCAGATGAAATAAAAGCTGCCCAAGCCTCTGTTTCTGTCTCCAAACCCACCTGGGATCCATCAGGCCCCATCACCCCTTAACCTGTGTTTTTATCACAACTCTTCACGTTCTACTCCTGCTCGGTGTAGGACATCAAAGCAGGACAAGGCTGCATGGAGCAGCTCCCACTGCCTGAAAGGGAATCACAGCCAACACTGTACCTTTGCACCACTCTGTGATACCCTGCCAGGGCCTCAGGATGCTCCCCGGGCACAGTCCAGGACTTTGGCTGTTTGTCCCAGGCTTTTAAGATTTGCTGCTGCTTTCTCATAAAATGTGCTGTGTGCACACCCGAGCTGACATTCCCTCCGATGGAATTCATGTCAGGAGCTGCAGTCCCGGCAGTTTGCAGTGAGCAGCCTTCAAAGTTGCCTGGTAAATTTTATTAATAAGGCAGCTATGTCTCTTCCACTTATTTTGAACAGAAAACAGGGGTTTCATAAATAAACCAAGGATGCTGGAGTTCTCCATGTGTGGGGTTGTTTTTTTTTTTTTTTCAATCTTCCCTAGGAGGAGCTGGCGGCGCTGAGAAGGAAGCTGGAAAAATCTGAGCAGGCATGCAGTGAGCTCAGGCAGACTACGGAGAGGTTGGAGAGCAAGGTACAGCCCCAAAACTTCTGGTACAGACACAAAACCTCTGGTACAGCCTCAAAATCCTTTGCCACAGCTCTGCTTGGCCACATTGGGAGTGAAGCTGTATCAGGATGAATAAGACCACCAGGTTGCCTAGAGCAGCTATGACTGCCCCATCCCTGGAAATGTCCCAGGCCAGGTTGGATGGGGCTTGGAGCACCCTGGGCTAGTGGAAAGTGTCCCTGCCCATGGCATGGGGTGGAATGGGATGAACTTTAAGGTTCCCATCAAAACCAGTCTGGGATTCCATGATCCCTAGCTGGTCATGGATCCTGTGCAGGGTCTGCTCTTGGATGCTTGGGCTTCTGGGTGGTTTTACCTGGGATTTTGTCAAGCTTCATGAGGAGGAGCTCCCAAGGTTTCTATAAACACCGTGGGCTTACCCAGCTCACCAGGCTGTGCCATGTCTGAGCTGGGTCTGGACTGCACCTCAGCTTAATGGCACCAACAGCCCTGAGGTCCATGGAAGGAGGTAAAGATGATTTAGCTTAAACTCTCTGTTAAAGGTGAAATCACCCCCAGGAGGCTGAGAATGCTGAGTGAGGCGAATGCCTCTGGGCAGACCTAGGAAAGAGCTGTGTCCCCAGGGAGAGAAAACCTGTGGGGTTTGCTTATTGAGTTAAACTTGTGGGATCCCTAAGGAGCTGGTGCTGCAAAATGTGAAGTGCCTAAAAATGCTGTCAGATGCAGGATAAGGACTGTTGGAATCCTGTGTGGTCCTGTTGGCTCTGCTGCATCTGCAGCCCCTGGCTGTGTCCCTCTGCTCTGGGGAAAATGGAATTGATTCTTGGGATTAATAATTCTTCTCTTCATTCATCTGCTTCTGCTTTCAAAGAAAATTTAATGTAATCAGCCAGAACAATGGAGAAAAATTGATGAGCCCTGCCTGGAGCATAGTGCAAGCAGCTGGGTGCTGCCAGTGGGATCCTGGGTTCCCACTGGTGGCACTGGTTGGTGCTGGTGTGCACTCACCACCTCCCCAAAGAACAGGCAGAGAGCAGTCAGGACTCTGAGGTCTGTGTAGGCTGACTGACCCCCCCGAGCCACTGTGCCCAGCCATGCCCAGACTGACTCCCTGTTCCTCCCAGATCATCGACCTGACGACAGAGCTGTCAGATGAGCGGTACAAGGGTGATGTTACCTGCCAGGCCCTGGATGGGGAGAGGGCAGAGAGGCTACGTGGGGCCAGGGAGCTGCAGGAGCTGCAGGTAGGACAGCCCTGAGCCCCTGAGCCATGCCAGTGGTGATACCACCCTCCCTGGCACATCCTTGCTGCAGCCAAGTGCCCCAGAACCAGGTAGAGCTGCTCCTTCCTCCCTCGGTTTCCACAGAGCAAACACGACCAAGTGCAAAAGAAGTTGGAGTCAGTGGAAAAGCAGCTGGAAGAGGCTCAGCAGCTGGTGCAGCTGCGTGAGATGAAGATAAGTGGCTCTGGAGGAGGTAGGGATGTCCCTCTGGGGGTGGTGCATGCTATCCACCTATCTGCCTTTGGCATGGCTACTGGGGCTGGTCAGGCCTGAGCATCCACGCAGTGCCCCTGGGTCTCTCTCTGTTGGCAGAGGATGAGTGGCAGGTGAGGTTTGACTGTGCACAGACAGAGATTGTCTTCCTGAGGAAGAGGCTGGTGCAGCTGGAGGAGCGGCTGGAGTCTGAGCTGGGTGCCAGGACAGAGCTCGAGCAAAAGGCAAGTGCTGCCTGCCTGGGAGGGCACAGGGACCTCCACATCATCCTGGGGATCAGGGCTGCTGCTGGAGCCAGGTTTACTCTCCCTGCTCCTGGGGCAGATGAAGCTTTGCCAGGTTGAGGCTCAGCATTGCATTTACTTGCTGCTGCTGATCCCACTGACCAGGGGAAAACACCTCTTTTCTGCTGGTTAGAGCAGAAATATCCCCTAACTTCCTTCAAAAATCACTTTTGTACCAGAACATGGCAAAACTCCACCTTGGTCAAGTGTGAGTGTGGGCACAGGGAGGGGAGCTGCAGGGTGGGGAGGCTTGGTGGTGGGTCTTGGTGCTGATCTGGCTTTGGGAGCTGGACAGGGCTGTGCTCTCACCATCTGTCATGCAAAAAACTGCTGATGTAAAGAGCTGGCAGCTCCCAAGCTTTGCCATGAGGAGGGGGGGAAAAGCCAACGTGCTTCCCTGAGCAGTGCCTGGGAGTCAGGTCACTTCCCATAAGGATAAAACAAAGAAATGAAGATTGCTCATGGTACATTAAATAGTAATAAGAAAAGCAGCTGAGTCTTAAGAGCTCGGGTAAAGCAAAGCAGCCCATTTGCTCTTAGTTAGTTTGGAATTACAGGCTTCATTAATGCAAGATTTTGCTTATTTAAAGTTATTCCTTAATGACTCCATTCCCTGGCGTGCGAGAGCTCTGCGTGTCTGTCCCAAGCACGATGTGAATCCTCAGGGATTCTCTGCTCATTGCAGAGAAATGGGAGCAGGCTCAGCAGCAGGGCTGGGGGGCTGCAGGCACTCGGGGGGTGCCTCGAGCCTCAGGGGTCAGGGGAACCTCAGTTTGTCCTTATTTAGTGAAACATCTCTGGGTGAAACATCCTCTGGGACTGCAGTGGAGCTGAGCTTCAGACAGGGATCAGCTCCAGGATGTATGTGCCATGGGCTCCATGGGGGTCCCTCCTCTGTGGGATGCACATGCCATGGCATCCATGGGGTCCCTCCTCTGTAGGGTGCACGTGCTATGGGGTCCATGCACAGTTGGGTGCATGTGCCATGAGGTCTGTGGGATCCCTCCTCTGCAGGGTGCACATTCCATGGGGTCCCTCCTCTGCATGGTGCATTTGCTCTAGGGTCCATGGGGTCTCTCTGCTGTGGGGTGTGTGTGGCATTGTGGTCCCTCCTCTGCAGGATGCACATTCCATGGGGTCCATGGGGTCCCTCCTCTGCTGGGTGCACATGCTATGGGGTCCATGGCATCCCTCCTCTGTGGGTTGTGTGTGCTGTGGGGTCCATGTGGTCCCTCCTCTGCAGGGTGCACATGCTGTGGGGTGCCCTGCTGCAGACTGTGCGTGCCGTGGTGTCTCAGTGCCGTCTCTCCCGCAGCTCTCCGAGGCGCGGGCGGCGGGGGAAGCC